AATTTACAATGATAACCAACCAAATAAGTATTGTCTCTGACTGTGTTCTTCGTGAAGTGACTTGTAACACTTTGTTTCAAACCCTTACATTTACACAAATACTTTCAACACAAAATGCATACATAAAGACACATACAATTATTAACACTCCAGTTAGTATCCCTCCAGCAGCGGAAAACATACCGTTTGTCTGCAGTTTCAGGAGATCTTTGCTCCTGCGGTGAGCAGCTGAGAGTGGAGTCCCCTCCGAGCAAAAACACTCAGGGTGTACCTAGGGGCGTCCACGCTGCAGCCGATCCCGCAGCCGAGCAGAGTGCCTCCTGCCTGGCTCACCAAAATGCCTCACAGAAAGCTGACTCCACAATCAGTAGGATTGTAAAGTAGTATGTTTACTCAGTTCCGTGCAGCACGGGGCGGGTAGTCCCACCAAAGTCGTGCACGCCTAATGTGGCAAATTGCTTTAGTAAAGAGTTACATATACATAAACATTCCTATACATATACATAACCTGTCCCTTTATGAACAGTCCTCCTTATTTTAGACCCCTTGGTTAAAGTCTGAACCATGAGGTTGTTTTTGATCTGGTTCTCGGGGTCCGAGAGGCTCTTGTTATCTGGAGGTATAAGTGCAGCACAGGCACAAATGTAGCACATATTCATTCTTAATCAATTGCTCTCTAATTTCTAATTCCAATGTTTCAGCTTGCTCTTTTCTGGATCCACGGGTATTCTACTATTAATGTTCAAAGCCTGACCCCGTCCTCCGTGGATCAAAATACATGGGGTCTTAAGGGTTCTTTTGGTCATTCTATCATATAGTACTGGATCAGTTTCAATTTACTCTTTATTTTCTGGGCCCCTATTGTTCCAATTTCTAATCATTAGTCATAATGGACTTTTGGTCATATATCGGCAATTTGCTCCCTTTCTGGTCCTTGTCTTTGATTTTACTGACCCATCCGGGAATTTTACTTGTGGGCAATTCCCACAGCCTTGGTTGCCCTAGTGAGAGTGTCTTGCAGGGGGTTTAGGACCATATCACCACCCACGTATCCCTCTCTTCATATCGACCGGCCCAGCCCCCCCGACAGGAGATTAGAAACCAGTGAGAAAAACAAAAAGACCTCCACGCTGACTTAGGAGTCTTAGTTACACTCTCACACACAAAAACATGGCAACCGCACCTTTACCCAACCGGACGGTATCTTACGATCAGTCGTCTTCGTCCAGAATCCAATCGGACGGTATCCACAAGCGTCTCTGCTGTCTTCGTCTGGGATCGAACCAGACGGTATCCAAACGACTGTCGTCTTCATCCGGTTTGATCCCAGACACCGGAATCCAACCGAATGGTATCCAAACGACCCTGTCGTCTTCGTCCGGATCTTTGCGCGCAGAATTATGGGCAAAAAACAGCCGGCAAGGGAGCTCAAAAAAATAAAATTCTTTGCTTACCTTTATTCAGGTTCAGGATGGCATTAGTCCCGATCTGACTCAAACAGGAGCCACCAAATGGTGGGGCGCCTCTCCTAGATTAAATCAGAATTCAGGAACTATAGCCATCCCGGACGAGCCCCCAAATAGTTATAAATGGCTCAGGATTCAAATTAGGATTAAATAAAAAAATAGGATTTATTAAAAGAATATAAAGGAATAGAGGTAAGCAAACAGCGCTGGGTGCACCGGGAGTCTCCGCTCCACCAGGACGCACACCAGTTACATCAAGCAGCTGATTTTTATGCACCTAGACTAATACATATTCATTACTACTTCTAAAAAAATAGATTATTATAATTAGCTTAGGGGACATTGCTGCTGCACATCCCTGCAGGCTAGTCTGTTCTTGCTCAGCTCTACTCCACTTTCACAGATTGCAAAAGCAATTCTTTTCCTCCAGCCAAATACATAACTTGCTCTGGCTTTGTCTCCCAGGAAAGAGCTCATAAAGTTAGTACTGATTCAAAAAAGGTCAACTAATGAATGAACAATGTAGATTTCCTTGAGGCACGAGCCTGCTAAGCTTTCTCTGGGAAGATTATCATCATTGGTGCTGTGACTGAGACTTGGATCAATCCTTTTTAATTGCCCATGGGTATTTAATTACTAGTTCTTTGATGGCATTAGGGTTCTTTGCATTTCCCATGGTTAAGAGAACTGCCCTGTGAAGATTTTTTTTTTTTCTTTCTGTAAATTCTTTTAGAATTTTACTTTAGGGGTGGATCCTGGAAAATAGCTATTCCAGCCATTATCAGAGACGCAAAGAATACTGCTTAAAGGTCCAGTACATACAAGTTCAAAGCCATCACAGAAATATTTGTATGGACATTTGAGGCTATATTTTCCAGGCTGTTCTTGTTTATAAGATCACCTCTAAGGGAAGCAAGCATAGGGAATATAGAAGTTTGGATCAAAATGTCAGGTCTTCCTGCAGATGAAATAAATGTTACATCTGTGTAACGGTGGAGATTGGTCACAAGGTGTCACCACAGTACTGATTTTTATTATCATATAGATGCATTCACCTGACAAATTTAGAAGCATCTAGGAAATAACCTCTACTATGTGAAACACTATAAGGAGACCGCCTTTTCTGGGGGAGGTGGTGGCTGGCATATGATAGTTTCATTTGTGGCCAAGCTGGGAAATCACACCTCAATGAGGTGTAGGACCTATAGGGACTTACATAGTTCAGGCCTAGGTAGATTCTTTACCTTTCACTATGCAGTTGGTGTTACCTCATTTGTGTACTTAACCTGGCTGTTACTTAGATGCAGTTTGCCACCTTCCATTGCAATGAGTGAAACCTTAAATTAATCTGTGGGGTTTTTTTTGTTGTTTGTTTTTTTGTTTTTGGTTTAAGTAGTATTATTAAAAGATAACCAAAGATTTTTTTTAAAAAAAAAAAGCTTTCTAAGATACAAGTTGCTATAGAAGTTGTTATATTGTTTATGGAAAAAACACTTCTACATAAGAAATACTTAATGCTGTTTCTTCCCTTGCCTCTTAAAGCGTATAGGCTGTTTAATATCAGGAGGAGATTTTAATATTTAAAGTAAATACTGAGGTAAGCTGGACCTAAAAACTTTAGCTGAAGTAAACGTCTAATCAAAGAAGGATTTCTCAGTGCTTGACAACTTCAGCTTTATCAGTAGCTGCTGGTGTATTATTTTGTGCTTTTAAAATTCCTTTAAGTGCATACATGTGCTCTGAAGTGCCCATTTGTCCTGCCATAACAAAGCATTAGAAATAGTTTTCATAGAAACATCAAAGCCCTTCTCAACACGAGTGCTCTTCTGTACATCCATCCACCCACACTCACATGGTGCATGTCTGTTTCACCTTGGAGGGAGCAGAAGTGGAAAGAAGAGCATAAAACTGAAGAAATAAGTGTACCAGGTCTGGCTGGAATGTTAACTTTCCCGGCAGCAGCCCATACAGTGCTGTACTCTGCACTTGTAGCTGGAACAGCAGTGTTATCACACCAGGGTTGTGTCTACTGCTGAGCAGTGCTGGCACAGCATTGGGCCTCTCTCTAACCCTCCTAGGGGGTGGGCAAAAAGTGAGGAGAGAAACATCACTAGGGCAGCTGATCTAAACCAATCAAAGGGATATTCCATACCATGTGATGTCACACTCAGCAATAAAAGGTGGAAACAGGAAGAGGAGGGGAGGGGTGGGCTCTTGTTGTGAAAACATCGTTCCTCCTCCCAAACACTGGCTATGTGCATCTAGGCCCTGCTTCAAGGACATGGTCAATCATCGCTCATTTGTGGGAAGTAGAGAGTAATTTCTTTCCTCTGCACTTCCACATAGCCTTCATTTGTTTTATTTGTTTGTTTTCCTCCTTTTTTTTTTTTTATTTTCCCTTTCCCCCTCCCTTTTCCCCTTCCCCTTTTTATTTCCCTTTAGTTAAATTGTTTAGTTTATAATAATCTTTATTTATTTATTATTATTATTTCCCTTTAATTAAATTATCCTTATCTCAACCTGTGAATTGTTCTTTGCTTTACTTCTTCCCCTCGTCATCTAAAGAGGGGGAGTGAGAGAGCGATTGTGGGGTTTAGCTGCCCAACACAGTAAAACCACCACAATAAGAGAAATGAGGAGAGCATATGGGATAGGTGTGCATTAGCTTGCCTTTGTGACAGAAAGAATAGCAATGATGCTTATAAGTCTTACAAGGAGCGGCTGAGGGAGCTGGGATTGTTCAGCCTGGAGAAGAGGAGGCTCAGGGGCAACCTTATCGCACTCTACAGGTACCTTAAAGGAGGCTGTAGCAAGGTGGGGGGATTGGTCTATTCTCCCACGTGCCTGGCGAAAGGATGAGGGGGAATGGGCTAAAGTTGCTCCAGGGGAGGTTTAGGTCGGATATTAGTAAGAACTTCTTTACTGAAAGGGTTGTTAGGCATTGGAATAGGCTGCCCAGGGAAGTGGTTGAGGCACCATCCCTGGAGGTCTTAAAAAGACGTTTAGACTTTGATATGGTTTGGTGGAGGACTGGTTAGTGTTAGGTCAGAGGTTGGACTAGGTGATCTTGGAGGTCTCTTCCAACCTAGATGATTCTGTGATTTTTCCAGTCCCTGAATTGACAAAGACTGAGCAGACAAGGCTGGAGGAGATGCTTTTTAAAACTTTTTTAATTTTCATTTTTATGGTTACTGTTTAAAAAAAAAAAAAAAGTCTTCATGGCTAATTTTTCTTCAGTACAGAAGTGCTTGTTTGTCATATCTTTGCTCAAGACATGGCTTAGCTAGTGTTTCATCCCAACTTTAAATGCACAGTGAAACTCCTCAGAGATGCTCACGTGGTCTCAGTCTCTACGCATGTATCTAGATGGGTCAGAGATCAGAGAAATGGTGACATGAGCGCGCTAACTTACTGTAATAGTCAGCTATATGAATTTGACAGCTCATTCTGCACCACGGGAGAGGAAAAAATTGCTGTAGTAGTACAGCTTAGATTTTGCCTGACTGTTGGCTTTTTTGTTTGCTTTTTTTTTAGGTGAAACATGGAACCCATTAAAGTTGCACTACCAGTTACGAAATGTCCGTGAACGGTTAGCTAAAAATCTAGTGGAAAAAGGTGTACTGACAACAGAGAAACAGAACTTCCTTCTTTTTGACATGACTACGCACCCTCTCACCAACAACAATATCAAACAGCGCCTCATCAAGAAGGTTCAAGAAGCAGTTCTTGACAAATGGGTGAATGACCCCCACCGCATGGACAAGCGCTTGTTGGCACTCGTTTATTTAGCCCATGCTTCAGATGTTCTGGAGAACGCTTTTGCCCCCCTTTTGGATGAGCAGTATGATTTAGCGACAAAGAGAATGCGGCAGCTTCTGGATTTAGACCCTGAGGTTGAATGTATGAAAGCCAACACGAATGAGGTTCTGTGGGCTGTTGTAGCAGCTTTCACAAAATAACTGCAATCAGACTGCAGTGTTCTCTTTTCTTTCATGTAAACCAATTGTTTCTCTTCTATTGGCTATTCATGTTTTCTGTAATTTGTACCTTCTCACATGAATTGGCTCTTGTTTAATGGAATTATAAGTGGTGTATTCCCTCTTTCTCTGTGCATCTGTATACAGGATTCTGTTGGTACAAGAGACCTTCCTATTTAAAACAACAGAAAAAGGTTTTACTGCCATATTGGCTTTCCATTTCCTTTTAAATTTGAGTTATCTGAAATATTTGTTACTCTGTTTTTCATCTTATTGTTATTGAAGTGGTTTAACATGGAAAGCACCTCGAGGAAACGTGCATGCAATTGGATCACTAGTCTCAGCTGACACAGATGTGTGCATGCATCAATATTTCTGCAGTACAATTCATAACAGATCAAAAAGGGCCTTTTTAAAAAATCACCAAAGGTCCATGTCGAAGTGTCTGTCAGGGCATTTTATACACAAATGTTGTTTCAATTATGTCTGACAAAATTACTTTAAAAGCAGAAATTCCATTTAACAGCTTTGTCAATAGTTCCTGTAAAACCCCATAAAATTTACAAACATGAACCTCTGTAATATATAAAGTAATTTGTTGTACGTACAGATTTTGCTTAAGAATCCAGAAGCTGCCCCATGTTAGATAAGGGCCCCGCCGCTGGCTAGAACCAGGCTAATAAGCAATATCTTTTGTGCCTCTGTGAGAGCATATTTAAAACAGGGAAAAAAATAATCTGCGGGGGAACAGCAGCTGGGAGATAGAGAGGAGTGAGGAACAGCCTTGCAGGCTCCAAGTTCAGTGAAGAAGGAGGGGGAGGAGGTGCTCCAGGCTCTGGAGCAGAAGTCCCCTGCGGCATGTGGTGAGGACCATGGTGAAGCAGGATGTCCCCCTGCAGCCCATGGAGTACCATGGTGGAGCAGGATTCCATGCTGCAGCCCATGGAGGAGATCATGGTGGAGCAGGTGGACCTGCCCTGAAGGAGGTTGCGGCCTGTGGAGGACCCCCGCCAGAGCAGATTCCAGGACAGACTTGTAGCCCGTGGAGAGGAGCCCACACAGGAGCAGGTGACCTGTCAGGAGCTGCTGCCCGTGGGGGACCCAGGTTGGAGCAGTATGCTCCTGATGGATGGACCCCATGGTATGGACCCATATCTGGAGCAGTTCTGGAAGAGCTGCTGCCTGTTGGAAGCCCACACAGGATTAGTTTAGGAAGGACTGCATCCCGTGGGAGGAACCCCACACTGGAGCAGGGGACAAGAGTGACCGAGGAGTGGCAGAGACGAAGCGCTACAGACTGACTGCAACCCCCATTCCCCTGCACCACTCGGGGGGAGGAGGTGGAAGTGGGCAGATGGGGGAAGGCATTTTTGGTTTCATTCCTTTGTTTCTCACTTCTCTAGCTTGTTAGTAATAGGCAATAAATCTTACTGTCTCCCTACTCTGAGTCTGTTTCGCCCGTCACAATAATTGTTGAGTGATCTCCCTGTCCTTATCTCAACCCTTGAGCCCTTTTCATCGTATTTTCTCTCCCTTCCCCTTTGAGGAGGGGGGGGTGAGAGAGTGGCCGTGGTGGAACTCGGCTGCCCACCCGAGTAAAACCACCACACCTACTTATTGCTTTATAGAAGTGAATCAGCCTTCAAAATAATTTGTCTACAACTTCCGTAAAAATAAATGCCCCACTAGAAAAGATGCTTTTTAGCGCTGCAACACAAACTTACCCCCTTTTCAACAAGCAGATAGCCCAAAATGAAGAATTAATCTTGTATATGACCTTACTACACGAAAAGCTTGAGTAAGGAGATAGCAAGTCTTTAGAGCACTGACTCAGGAACAAGATCTTCTTACATTAGAGAACTCTGGTAAAAGTCATGATACTCAGCTCTAAGTCCTCCCTGCTGCATGGACAATAGCTTGCTTTGGAAGCAAGCAAAGAGAAGTTTCAGTGTAAATTAGCATCAGCTTCTGTTCATCTTATCAAATCACATCATGTAAGCTGGATCAGAAAGCCAGCTGCTTTAGTTCAACCACCAAGGCAGCTAGTGTAGACAAAGATATTTGTTGAAGAAGGGGAGGTTCCTTGAAGCATCAGTAGGAAATCAGAGAAGAGGTGAAAGCAACTCTGAAGACAAGGCAATAGATTTAAGCTCAAATTGACTCTAAAACTGAAGGCAATGAAAAGCTTAGTAATAAAAAGGCAAGAGTAGAAACATATGAGGTTCAAAGTTAGTACAGATTGTTTCTGAGCACAAAAGAGGAAGTCACCAAGAAAGAGAGCGGAGCAGAGCGAGAAGACCAGGTGACAAAAGGTTTGAGAGGAAAAAAATAAAAAGTAGAAACAGCAAACAGCTTGGAGAGGTAGTGGGGGAAAAATCCTACTAATCAGCATTTCTTTCCCTATCCTTTCCACTTTCTTAAAAGCCAGCTTTTCTTCTGTTTCTACAGAAGCTTCTCCTCCTCCTGAGTCAGAAGGCATTTCTTATCTTCAGCTTTTCACAGGCTTTGTGTTGCTGCTTTGTAGGAAGGAGAAAAAATAAAAAAAAAATGCAATGGGAGCAAACTCTAGCTCTTGTCCTGTCTTGTCTTGTCTTGAGATGAACATGGGCAGTAGTTCTCACCATGTTTATTCCCCATCCAAAGATCCTCCCCTCCTATGCAAGACTACCTGAAGTCATGCTTTTATATTTGACACTTATAAAGCACTTGGCAGCACCTAATTCCCTGAGTAATTAAACTGTTGTATAAATTAAGCATAACCACAGAATAGAGGAGTTATTTTCAAAAAATGTTTACTTCTCTGAACCTGGAAACCCCTTTCCATTTAGAAAGATAGATGGACACAATACAGGGAAACTAGGATGCAAACAGGCTTTTGACTACCTGAAGTGCCTGAAGCTCAGTTTAGATAGAACTCACACTTTAATGGAAAACAGAAAAGTTCCATTTCCCAAACTGGTGAAGACCTTAGGAAAAATACTCATAAGTTACTCAATAAATGAAAAAAACCTTCAGGTACTGCATGCATGTGATACACATCTACCACTTGGAGCTCATAGCTTGAAAGGGTGCTTTATTTTGTTTCAGTACAGATTCAGTCCAGTTCACAGAAAACACGGTTAATACATATATTTACTTTGTAGGAGAAATGGGCACGAACACATGAGCACTCGGTCACCAGTCTTTTATAGCCAATTTATGCAACTTTCACCTCAAAAGCATCATGCATGGCACAGAGTTTTCACTAACACCTCATATAGGAGCACTGTAAAGTCATCTCTAGAAACACAGGAAGATGTATATCTCAAGGACTGTAAAATTAAATGCGTCTATGCCATTTGTGGATTTATCCTTCAAAATCCTGTTTTTGAGATTAACTTGGAAGTTTGTTTTAGAAGAATGAGTCCCTGAATAATACTTATTCTCCCCTGAGGTTCAGGTTCTTCAGGCTATAGATAATAATCTTTACTTCAAACAGCCAGAGATGGACTCACAGCAGCCAAAATTGTCTTAAAATCTGAATCTGTTAGCTGCAGCAGCAGCTAATATGAATAAGGCTACATGAATCTCAGCAGAACAGTTTCCCATGTTCAACCACTGTCACAGGAAGAATGGCTGAAGTCATGACATACACCAATATGGTTAGATCATGCTCTCTTTATTACCCGAATAGCCTGATTCTTATAGCAATTTAGCAGGGCGCGTACAGCGTCTAACACAAGATTATTGGTCGAAAGCACTCAGACAAACAACTGCAAGAAAACAACCCCACCTGCAAGAAAACAACCCCCTTGTGGTTAGCAGTCATGTAGATCTTATCCTTGAAGGAAGTGCCAGCTGCTTGCAACAATATTTTTAATTCCTCAATCGGGCAATAGAAGAACATCGTTATGTCAGCTCCTCGTAGTTTTCCTGGTAGCTTGGTTTGCTCAGCTGCAGCAAGTCATGGCCTCCTTGCTGTTTCAAAAATTCCTCAACAATTCCCCCTTTTTCTTTTTGAGCAATCCAAGTCTGATGTAACAGTCTTGCAAGTAACCCTTTAACCACATTTATTACAATACAACATGCAATGATGATTAACACCACAACAAACAGAAACCTTAATCCCTCTTTGATTAATCCCAGTAACCATCTAGGCATCGTCCCAAACAAATCAGTGAGCCATTGATCGAAAGGACTAATATCGTGTTGAATCTTTCCCATGTGTTCCTTCAGGAAAGTAATGGATTTGTGAATTGACTCATTATGATCAAAAAGGTTCATACAGTACATTCCCTCAGTCCTCACACCCATGTCCTTGAGCCAAAAGCAAAAAGTCAATAGCAGCTCAATCCTGTAAAAGCGCATGTCGCAGACTATTTTGATCTAGTAACATCTCCTCAAGTATTTCTGTCATGTCATTGGCTTGCTTCTCGGCCCAGCATGCCAATTTTTCTAAATTATTAAGTGCGGCCACAGCTGCTGCTCCTGGCATGAAAAGTGATAATGATTCTAGATGCAACACCAAGCAACTCTACATTATCATTGCAATCTGGTGTGAGCAATGCCCGTTTATTTCTAGTGATCTTACGCAACTGCGACAAGCTAGGAGCAAATATAGTAAGATTAACTAAGTAACATGGACCTCCAATAGCATTTGCAGGGATACCTTGCCAGGCCCTATCCCCGCAAATCAGAAAAACATCAGGAGATAGTGCCATAGCTGTACGATTATTCCAAAATCTCTTGTTATTACCCCTTATCTCCACGCCATAGTCCCCCAAAACCTGCCTAGCAGTGTCATTGTAACCACAGGTGTTATTTCTATTTCTGTACCCATATGGCCCTTTCCAAGTCACATTTGTCCACCCTGTTGGATTGTGGTTTTTGAAAGGATTTAATCTTTGCTGTAAATTTCCAAACACAAAACATGTTTGAGTTCAATTCTGTGATGTGTTCCCGATCCTCTGAGACCCAAGTAACTGTAACTCTTTTGGATCCCAGGGCAACGAGACATTAAGTGAATTTATCAGTTTCACTGAACATGCAGCTATAGATGAGGCATTGCAGCAATCGTTGGTAGCATACTGGCCAAGCTCAGAGGGGTCATACACAGGTATACCTATGAGGCAAGTCCTGAACGGATCCGTGGATGATGCCATGGACAGACAAAATTCTGATATACCAGTCTGATTAGCCCATGTCACCCACAGATTTCGTTGTGGCTCGATCTTGGTCACAAGCACAAGCCCTGCTGGCAGTATTAGAATCACCATCAGCAATTTTTTTAATTTCATTAATTGTTCCTTTAGAACCTGATGTGATCGCTTGACAATCACCTGGCCCGTGGGAGAATATGGAATACCTGTGATATGCTCTACTCCCCACTATTCATAAATTTTCTAACTTTTTTGCTAACATATGCTGGACCATTGTCCGTTTTGATTTGCTGCGGCACTCCCATAATGGCAAAACACACTGTCAGATGTCTACACACATGGAGTGCTTTTTCTCCCCCCTGTGCAGTTGCCCACATGAATCCTGAAAAGGTATCAATACTCACATGCACATACCTTTTAGTACCAAATTCCAGTACATGCGTTA